TGTCCCGTGACTATATGTATATATAATTATAGTTGACATACAATATTATTCAACATCAGCTTCAGAAATACAGTGCGGTGGTCAGGCCTCTACACCTACCCTCAAAGTTTTTATTCCAGGAAGGAGTAACAGAAATAAGAGTGAAAACAATGCTGGAGATGCTGTGGGGGAAATTTTCAGAGACTTTGGAATTTGAAACGAAGGAAGGAGCAAAGATATAAAAAATAGTGACAGTTCAGGGAGTTTCCAAGGCGAGGCTGCGAGCAATTATTTTCTACACTTCCTTTTTGATTTACTTGGTTGGATTCTTGGAGGTTATATTAACGAAAGAGTCACTTAAGTTAAACAGCTTCACATTCTAATGGGACTAAGTTAACATTCTTCTTCTAACCATGAGCAGTGATAAATTAATCTGAGGAAACTGGAGTTTTGGTTTGGAAGGACAAGGGAGGGTAAACCTTGGAATTCACAAAATCTCAGACTCGCAAGGTGAAAGGTAGTCCTCTGGCTCTGTTGGTCATGTGGTATCTGGTCTACAACCCCCAGATATGGCTTTTGGGCCTATGTGAGCACCGTCAGCAAGAGAGGACTTAATGTGCCCTTTGCCAACAGCTCTACTATAAAAGTCATATGGAGCAGGGAAAGGATACCTTACTTGTCCTGAGGGTGGTGAGGGGTGGAGCAGGCTTCCTGGAGGAAGTAGTGCCTTAGTCAAGTCTTAGATGTACGGTAGTTAGCCAGGCAAAGAAAGGAAATGGTGTTCTCAACTGAGGGAACCATAAATTCAAAGACAGAGCAGCATGAGAAAACGAGGCATTTTCAAAAATGTGTACATACTGGAGCATGGCTGGAGCATAGGGCAGGTGAGGAAGTGTGAAAACTGCTATGGACGGAGGAAGGCAGGGACCAGAGATGACGGGGGCATGAAACGTAGGTAAGTAACATGTTTAGATATGAGTGTAGCTCTCTCTGGCAGTGCTGTGGGAGTTTGGGGAGTCCACACAGCATGTGACTAGTCCATCCTGAATATTAATTCGTACCCGAATGTTCCAGTAAATGCAGATATTAAAAGCAATAATGTCAGCAATATTTTTCTTCTTAAAGCAAAAGTAGAAAAATTAACTATATAAACATTTTTCTTTGTAACTGAAATTATGCTATATATGTTGTCCTCCAATCTATTTGTTTTACTTATTATATTGAGTTCTTTGTCTACCCTATGATATTTGAAAACATCCCAGATTCAAGTGATCTACGTAAAAGAATCTACTTACATCCTTTAGAGTAATAATGTTTGGATGCTGTCCATAACGAAGAAGAATTTCAATTTCTTCTGTTGGGTCTCTCTTGCTTTTATCAATTATCTAAAAGGCAAATAGTTATCACAAAATGTCATGAACTATACAGTCATAAACCTTAAGTATTTATAGCTACAGACCTTGGGTATCATCTTATATAAACAATGCACATATAAGCCATTTATCAACAAGTTTTATTTAAGTACATGGCCAGACCGCCTAATCAAAATTCAAAAGCCAGTCTTGATCTAGATGGCAAGGCTGTAAAGTAAATTCTATGCCATGAGTCACATTCCTACCAGGTCTCTCCAGTTTAAGTTTGTAGTAAGTTTAGGACTTACTACAAACTCAAACCCTCAAGAAAAGGTACGAAGAACACAGTTAACATATCTTTCTTCCATCCTTGAACATCTTAAACCTTTGGGAACTCAGTTGACTTCTAAGCCTGTCAATACAGATAATTAAGGGCAACATGTACCTATAACACCACTACTAGCATCTGTTTATTGAATTAACTTTACTTCCTTTAATAAAATGCTTCAATGGAATATCCCATTAGTTGTAAGCTACTTATAAAAAATTAATTAACAGTTAAGTAGAACAAGCTTATTTTTGAAGCTAGGCAGAAAACTAAGCAGAAAACCACACCTAAAATTTTACTCGCCTAGAATTAAGTTTAATTATTATAATAAAGCCCTTTAAAATACTAATGTAGCTTTCCAACCCTTTTATGTCAGCTGCTTCTTAAAAATATTTCTCTTAATGTTTTAATTTGTTGAAGTATTTTAAAAAAGACAAGGTTTGATTTCATTTCATCCAAAGGTAGTCTGAAATAAATTTTGTGACCTTCCTATTTTCAATTTTAAAACCGCTTAGTAATTAATGTATGTAATAAACACCTAAATGCTCCAGCAACCTAGGAAAGTGCTTGTAACTCTCAATATGAACCAAATCTGCTATCTGAAATGGGTTTAGTTATAAAACAGCTCTGTATTTGAAAAACACGGAAGACAAACATACAGGTGTCCACCATAATCAACTGTAAATGACAGTGTGGAATTAGGCAAATGGATCATTAAGAGGAAACGTATATGGACTAGACATGCTAATTCAAGGGATAGGATCTGGGTCTAGTCTATTGAAAACTGGAACACACTGCAAGTGTTCTTTTTGGCAACCTTCTCTCTAACCTGCTAATCTGAGCCCAGCTTACATTATATCCATACTTGTGCTTGTGGATTTCAGATTTGTAGTAATTTCAGTAGAATCCAGTTGTCCTGGGATTGGTTTTATGAACCTAATTTAAGTCACAAGAATCCACAAATAGCTTGAAGATATTCTCAAGGTTTTGGTACACTGCTCCTGGTTTCTGTAATTCAAAGGGGGCCTCAGGACATTTCGGCTTTTATTCTAATGTGTTTATGGAGGCAAGATACATCCTTAAACTGCTTAGCAAGTACATTATTCATCTTCTCTCCTTTCACGTAAGCAATTTGAAAATTTCTATGTATCCCAGATTTCACTATGAGCAATGAGTAGGTGAGGAGAATATTAAAATGCATTTCTATGGTTTCTCCTTACCTCTGACAAAAAGCGTTGTGGACACTGATGACTTTAAAGCAATTAGATCCAAGATTTAGAATAGTAACAATTTTGGTGTGTGTATGTCTTCCCAGATATTTGCTATGCATATATAAAACACATTCATTTTAATTTTTACATAGTGAAATCATACTATATATCTAGATAAATGGATGGATGTAATCACAACTAATGCCACTCTCTCACTAATTAAACATGAGCTACCCATACTTACAGACAAGTCCTAAGGTTCAAGGTAAGTTGAAAGCTTTAGACATTACTTGAATTGCTTGCAATGGCTGAGCAGAGGCTACCATCCCAAGAAAAGGCAGAGACTTGAATATCGTATTTGTTAACTTACAACTAAAGGTTTGCAACTCAAACTTTATCATAGAGCCATGTGTCTTGATTTTTGGCTTAGAAAATTCTTGCTGTCTTAGGACATCTGATGACATTAAAACAGTTAATGATAATACATTTTATGACAGTGGTTCTTATTCTTTTATTGGTTCACAGATCGTTTTAAACGTGAAGGATGGTCTGAACAATTTTGCCAGAAAAATGTAAACATACAAAATTTGGTATACAATTTCAAGGAATTCCCTGAACACAGAATGGGGGACTCTTGAGAGTAAAAGAGGTGCTACCAAAAATCAGGTCCAGTGTACAGTGGTACCACCCTGAGCAAACTGATGTATGCTACCCTACCTGTACTCACAGGGGAATCCATGGTTCCAGATGAAGATCACTAGCCAGACATTTTAAGTTACCTCATCTTTTTATAAGAAGAGGCACATTTACCAAAGAAGAAGAGTGTAATTTTTCACTGGTACTGACATGCATGAATAAGAACTGTTCGAGTTGCATTTTAAATCTAAAAACATTTACCTTCACTGCAAACTCCATGTTTGTGGCTTTATGTATACATCTCTTGCAAACTGAGTAGGAGCCAACTCCAATGTCTTCTTTTACTTCATATCCATCAGTGAACTGAATACTGTTCCTGTGCAACTGCTACAAACACAATTATAAACTGATGAAGAGTTCCATAATGACTTTGGTACATTTCATAGGGAAATAAGTTACTCAACATGCAATGTTGATGTTAAATATAAATGAGTATCAGTCAAAATAAATCTTTACAGCATTTATTCTTCTACAACTGCGTATTTTGGGAGTATCTACAATAAAATGTACAGCATAAAATATGCCCTTTAGAAAGCTTATGTTAAAAACAAAAAATTAAGTGTGTACGAGAAAAAACACAGAGCTACTTGATAAGGGGCTGACGTCCTTGCCTGTGAGGGGGCCCCATTCCACTCCCCGACAGGCTGCAAGTCTTTGAAGTACCCTTGCAAGTGGGAAGAAGTCCGAAATTTCTGGTATAGAAGAAAAGATTTAGGAGGATTCAGAATCAGGACATCTGGATTCTTGTCTCAGATACACCACCTGTAGGCTGTGTGACCTTGAATTTGTGTTTTCTCAGAGGGTAATGGTGAGGACTAAATACAATAATGTATTTGTAGGTGATACCTATTATCATCATTTTGGACTATCAGTAGCCATGCCATCCTTTCTCCATCCTCAAGTCATAGTTCCAATACAACTTCTGCTAGAGAAGCCATTAATGGGTTAAGGACTAAAAACATGTGGTGGGATGATGAACAGCAAATTATTGGTTCCAAAAACAGGCTGAGAAAAGTTGTGCTGTCCTTGGCTATAGATGGAAGACCTCCCCGCACCCTCTGCCCCCCATGCCTCTGAGTCTTGTATAGGTTAAAACTTGAATTCTGTAAAATATATGTTTGCAATTTCTGGTAGGTATAGAAGTTATAACTTTAAAACTTGCCATATATTACATGCCTGTCATAGTAAAAGGGACAGATTATTTCAACATGAACTTTGTTCAAAAACCAGCATTTAAACTGGTTTTCTAGAAAGTGGAGAAAGCAAGATGATTGACTCATGAAAAAAACTTTATTAGAGCAAAAGTAACTTAATCAGCAAGTAAATTCAAGCAGTAATTATACCCTAAAACAATTCAGTGCTTTAAAAGATATATCTAGTTCCCTCTATAGGAAGATGAATTAAATTTATCTTTCAATGATACTAGGATGAGAAAAAAAATAAATCTAATGGTTTGTACTACTTGTGTTCCTCTAATAACATTTAATTTACTAGTCTAGTCTCCTGATACTTACACACACACACCTACCTACAAACCTGCTTCTGTGGCTTTTATCTCCTTTTTCTCCAACTCTGATAAACAGATGGGATAATGAGGTACCCAAGGCAGTACCCATAACCATTTTTTCCCTAATGACAATAGGGCTCCAAAAGAACAAAGACACAAAACTTAAGACTTAAGTTCATTTTCATTTCTTATGTTTCTATGGCAGAGGATGGTAAAGTATGACCTGTGCACCAAATGTGGTTCACTACCAGTTTTTCTAAATACAGTTTTATTGGCACACAGCCATGCTCATTCATTTTTGTATTGTCCATGGCTGCTTTTGTGCTGCAATGGCAGAGCTGAGTGGTTGAAACACAGATCGTATAGCCTACAAAGCCTCAAATATTTATTATCTGGCCCTTTACAGAAAAAGTCTGCTGACCCCTTTTCTAAGGCATCAGGGAACCAGGAGATCTCAGTACATTACAGCTGGCCTGGCAGAGGCAGAGGATGAAACAAACAAGGCCTGATAAACATTTGGAGGCACAGGAGAATGGAGAGATAAGATGGTGATATTTATCGCAACTCTCTTAAAATTTCACTTTCAAGTCAGGTACTCAGGATTCTGGTGCATGCAACCTTTTCAAAGGTGTATGAAAGATATTTCTCGGAGTAATGTCAATGATATAAAACGCATTTTAAGCTGCTCACTTAAGTCAGCAGATCAAGTCTAATCTAATTATTCACACAATGCACTACATCGTACATTTCAAATTTAAAATGACAGACATTCACTCACCTGAACAATTGAATGCACACCAACTGTCTGCATAGCTTGGCTCTCATCATCTGAGGTAATAGCAACAAAACTAAACCCCCGAAAAAGCTGATGTGCATTAGCACTAGGTGGAATGCCAGGTGAATCTGAAAAGAATAATAAATTACTAAGAAGATAATTATTTTGAAAGATAATTAGGGGAAGAGTTGTTGACAGTATGACCTTTCTCACTTATTCTGGAATTCTACTTCTCAGGCACCCAGTGCTTCCAGGATAACTCATTGAGCCACTGTATCAGATCTGTCCTGATGGCTTGCTGCCATCACAACTCTCAGGTCCTCATCCCTCAGAGCCCAGAACATAGCTAATTCATTGAAGAATATAATAAATAGATTAATTATTGGGTTAATATTATTCTAAATTAGCACTGTCCCATAGAATTTCCTGCAGTGATGGAAATTTTCTTTATCTGTGCTGTCCAATATGGTAGACACTAATCACATGCAGCTACTGAGCATGTGAAATGTGGCTGGTGTGACCAAGAAACAGAATTTTAAATTTTAATTAATTTAAATTTAATTAATTGGCTACCATATTGGACAGTGCAGCCCTAAATGGTAAACTAACAACGCTATGGTTCCTGGTTAAGGGGAGATACAAGGTTAACAGATAATTTTGGAGAAAGGAATTTAGTTCAGTGGTCTCAGTACATAATGTCAGGATCTGGAAATCTAAACTACAAGTTAAAAATTATTATCTATATGTAATATATTTAAGGACCAAAAGTAATTTCTAGGATAATCATGGTATGTGGTCCTTAAAATATACTTTACAACATGCTATGTATTGTTATTCAAATTATTTATGTGGAATTGACTGGCATTAACAAAAACAGAAATATACTTATACAATATGGTTAATGTTCACTAAGACAAACAATAAATGTGTTATCCATAAATATAAACACACACAATTAGGCATCCTAATATTTATAAACATACTATAAAGGCTAAGGGCAAGCAAAAAACAAAAGCAAATCTACTCGACTACGTATAAAGTTCTTTTTGAACATCAGTTTGATATTCTCAGCAATATATATTGTTTAGTGAATTTTAAACCAATGTGACAGTATTATACTGAACACTTCTGCTAGTACAATATCTGGACAGAATACAATATAGCACTGCTATCTTCTGAGATTTTCCCCTCATCGGGACAAATTGTACGGAGAAAGCAAAGTAAAACATCATCACATATCATCAATTCTATGCATATCACTGTCCACGTATTTGATAAAATTTTGTTCATATGTTAATTCAAATTTCTAAGACTGTCTTATAAAAATAAAAAACAACTACCCATGCTTAATATAGACTGAAGATTTTGGCTGGAAAGCTTTACAGCGATGTTTGAATGATGTACTCTATGGAAAATACGTGCAAGTATACTTTCTATTTATTTGCTTGTCAATGATAAACCTGGGGTCTGGTACATCTAAATGAGAGAGCATTAGAGTGAAAAACACACCATTATGTATATACATACGCTAATTAATGAAAATACAGGCTATCATTTCAAAAATTACTTCTCTGTAATAGTCACTGCTTACGCAATTTTAGGATAAAGCATGAAACAGGATATGATTCATTTTGAAGTTATTACACCTCATATAAAGTTTAAGTTATGTTTGGGATTTGAGCTTTACAAGTACTTCCAGAATACCACCTAATAGAAGAGCTTTAAAGAGAACTGTTTATACTGAAGAGTATTTCATGTAAAAATAGCTACAGGTAGGGGCCGGCCGAGTGGCGTGATGGTTAAGAACTGGCTTGGGATGCCAGAGGGCCCCGGTTTGGATCCCACATATGAGGGCCAGTGACATTGCCCTCTACAGCTAAGATGCTGAACAACAGCTCAACCTGGAGCTGGGCTGCCGTGAGTCGCCGGCGACGGCGTAGGCTGCAGCCCCTGTGGCAGTGGGTTGCCATGGGCTACCGTGTGTAGCCAGCAGCCAGCGTGAGCGGCCAGCAGCCGCCGTGAGCGGCCGTCCAGAAGCCGGCGACTGATGTGCCTTGCCCAGGAAGAGCGCAATGATGGTGCCAACTTGGGCCAGTGAAGCAACGTCCTTCACAACTAGACTGAAGAACAAAACAACAGCAACTTGTCTGTTCCCCTGCCCCCAACTCCCCACTGCTGTTCCCATCTCCCCAATTCCCCAATAAAAATCTTTAAAAAAACAAAACAAACAAAAAAAACAAAAAAACTATTTAAAAATAGCTACAGGTAAATAAATGCACAACCAAATAGTTTTTCCACATAAATAGTATCAAAGTTTATAAGGCAAAACATAATTTGCTAAAAGATTTAACAAGAATCTTAACTGCTATAAAATGTTTTTAAAAATTTACTAATTATCTAGGTATTGTGGCAGGGATAGGGTATGAAGGGAAGATGTAAGGATAGCATGAAGAGTTGTACTAGAAAAGATTTTCTGATTGAACAAGAAAAAAATATATAGTCTTATATTCGGGTTTTCATGTTTTTTCCTTACCTTTGGGAGTTTTTGCCGTAAACTCAGGATCAAAATAGAATGTATCTTCAGGCCTGCCAGTTGCAGGTTTAAAAGGTGGATGAATTTCTCTTCTGTACAATTTCTGGAGTAAAATAAGAGAGGCTTAGACGTGTTAATTACTAAAAAAAAATTCAAGCAAGTTTCCATTTTATACTTACATTCCAGTCTATTGTTGAGAAAAATAAATGTCTTTTGATTTCTTCAACTCCATCTGGTCCTGCGCCTATTAAAAATTAACTAGTTTTGATTAAATTGTAATTTTATTTCAAGGAGGAATACATGTTTATTTAGTCTTTGCTTTAATATTTGTCCTAATGTTTCATAATCCAATAACAAAAACAAATATCCATCTTCCCCCCTCCCCTCAAAAAACCAAGGAACACCAGGGCTGGCAGAGTGGCTCAGTTGGTTAAGAGAGCGAGCTCTGAGCAACAGGGTCGCCGGTTCGATTCCCACATGGGCCAGCGAGCTGAGCCTGAGCTGAGCTGCTGCTGAGTTGCCAACAGGTGGCAGGATGGCTCAGCTGGTGAGAGCACGTGCTCCTAACAACAAGGTTGTCGGTTCGACTCCCGCATGGGATGGTGGGCAATGCCCACCTACAACTAAGATTGAAGACAGCACCTTGAGCTGAGCTGCTCTGAGATACCGACAGGCAGCTGGATGGCGACTGGACTTGGAGCTGAGCTAGCTGCGCCCTCCACAACTAAGATTGAAGGACAACAACTTGGCTGTTCCCCTTCCCCAATTCACAGACACTGTTCCCCTTCCTCAATTCCCCAATAAAATCTTAAAAAAAAACCCCAAACAACCAAACACTAACAAACACACAAAAGAAACAAAATACAAATTTTACCTAATCTGTTTGCAGGATTTCGTTTGAAAAGCATTCGTAAAAGACTCTGGGCTTCAGGACTCAAAAACTGTGGCATCCCAAGTTTGGCTCTAAATAATAAATCCACATAATAACATTTTATTTTTTGGAGGCATTTGTGTTTTATTTAAAGTTTTTTTAATTAAATTTTTTATTTTAAGATAATTGTGGATTCACACTCAGTTGTAGGAAATAATACAGAGATCCTGCACACCCTTTACCTATTTTTCCCAAAGGTCACATCTTACAAAACTATATAGTACACTACAACCAGGATATTCACATTGATACAATCCACTGATCACATTCAGATGTCTCCAGTTTTAATGTGTGTATGTGTGTGTGTGTGTGTGTGTGTGTGTGTGTGTGTTTAGTTCTATGCCATTTTGTCACATGTGTAGGTTCCACCATCCACAGTAAAGATACTGAACATTTCATCACCACCAGGATCCTGTTTGTTGCTCCTTTATAACCACACCCACCTGCCTCCCTCCCCAATTCCTATCCTCTGGCAACCACTACTCTAGTCTCCATTTCTATAATTTTGTCATATTAAGAATGTTATGTAAATGGAACCATACAGTAGGTAACCTCTTTTCACTCAGATGAATTCCCTTGAGGTTCATGTAAGTTGTGTGTATCAATAGTTGATTACTTTCCATTTTTAATCAGCATTATTCCATGGCAGGGATGTACCACAGTTTGTTTATCCATTTGCCTGTCAAAAGACATCTGGATTGTGTCCAGTGTGGGGCTGTTACAAATAAAGCTGTTATGAACATCTGTGTATAGGTTTTGGTGTGAACACGTAATAATTTTAGTCCACAATCTTCCAATGAAATTTTTCATTCTTCAGAATTTTGCAAAAAGCATTACTGTCAGAGTAAGACCATCTAAGTCTTAGTTCTGGCTCTTTTACTAAGAATTTTGTGACCTTGGGAAACCCAATCCCCTTGGGCCTGTTACCGCTTCTTCATAAGCAAGGGGATTGGATGTTAGATCAATGCTCCCCAAACTGTAGCCTTGGAACCATTTTTCAAAAGGAATTTAAGAAATGCAATATTTAAAACTGCTAAAAGAACATGTGCTTCATATGTTTATTTTTTCCTTCCATCCCCTTTAATAGCCCTGCAGCGAAGAGGAGCTGGTGGGAAAGGGGTCTGTGGAATATCGAAGAGTCTGTGGCACACAGTCTGAAAACCACTGGCCTGGATGAGCTTGAAGATCTGTTTTAGCTCTAATATATAATTTTGTTCTTTTTCTCAACCTACAAATCAAGGAAACCAATGATCCTGTAAGTATGAAAATAATAACAGAGCATGGCAAAATGGCTAGCAGAGAAATTTATATTTCAGAAATAGATCCATTTATTATTCAGTGGGTTGTTCTGGAGCTACTATGTGCAAGACACTGCTTAGTGCTGAGGATAGAGTTAGCCCCCCATGGTCAGCGGGGAAGATGGATACAGATAACCCTGGTACATTAAGAGACAAATTCAGAAGGACATATGGGAGAGTGCTGAGGGGTTACCTAATTTAACACAGGAGATTGTGAAAGGCCTTAAATGAAATCTAAGGGTTGGGAATTTATACATTTGGCCAGTATTTCCCCAACATTTTACTGAATAACATTAACCTCTCTAGACACTTAACAGCAACAAAAAATATTTCATGATCCAATGAGTCTGTAGAATGCTATCTATTATACAACCCTGCTGGAGAATAAAATACATTGCATTTAAAAGGCTGAGAAATCTAGAGTAAAGAAATCGGTATTTTTCTAAACATTTGTTTCCAGCACCTCTCTCTCAGAGAATACCTATTAACATCTCGTAGAATTTAGTGTCCTGATGAACAAACTTGGGAAACACTGCTATATTAGGTAACAGGGATATAGCAGAGGTCTTTAAACAGGGGACTAACATGGCCAGAGTTATTTTCAAGACAGTATCTCCAAGGGCAGCACAAAATGATCTGGAGTGGGAAAACAGTGGTAGGTAGTAAGCATTCTACTTCGGAGCTTGGCTCAATAGTGTGCGTAGCCGCGCACCATGGTCTGAGAAGTGTAAACAGTGCAATGCAGAGGAAAGGCTGGGACACCGAGGTATTTCTAAGTGAATGTGGTGAATACCTGCATATGCAAGGGAGGGGAATCAAAAATTATTTTCAGGTTTTTGGCTTTCAGAAACAGGCTGCATGGAAATGCTGCTAATTGGGAATACAAGAAGAGGAAAAGAATGGCAGATAGAGATAAATTTAATTTAAAAATATTAAGTCATGCATGTCATATGCTTTGGGAGAGGCAGGCAGGTGAGTAAATGGAAATATAGGTCTGGTCTCTGGTAAGTTAAGAAAGTGTGATTTGGGAGTAATTAAAATGTTGAGACTAGGAGGTCAGCCAGGAAAGTGAGCACAGAAGGGAAGAAGGTGTATCAGAGATAGAACCCTGGGGGACAAGAACATTTAAAAGGTGATCAGAAAAAGAGCAATTCAGACATTAAAAATAATGAATGCAATTGGCTGAATCACACTGATTATTAAATCCCATGAGTTCATTATAGTAAAAAAAAAAAAAGTCAAAACTAACATAAAAACCCAACTCATTGTGGACACCACCCCTACTGGAAGTAACTAGGGCTCTGACAATTGGAAATAATTAAGAATTAAGGATTTCTTCTGCCCTCGTTTGAGCCTTATTTCAAGGTAACTAAATAGCCGTAGTTGATGAGGGAAAGTTCATTGTTGGAAAATATCAGCCAATGAATGAAGAAGGAATAACAGTAACAAAAATCACCATTTTTGAATCCCTAGTAAAATAATTGTTTCAAGTAATGATTATCAGTGGATGAAACCAACAGATGAAAACCTGACACGGAACTTCACAATGAAGGGATCAGCTGTAATCGCAAGACCTCATCACCTCCTGATGTGCTGCAATAGGGTGCAACAGCAAGAACTATGAAAAATTCTTGCCAAAGAAGTTTAACCAAAAACAGGATAAAGGAACAATATCACAAGGAGAATTTAAAAAATTCCACACTCCTAGCAAAAGACTAATTGTTACATAACCATGGTAACAAGAGAGCCACCAGAACTGGTTTTAAATCCAGTCAATTGATCAAAGACAACTTGCCTAGGTGAACGTAAGTTGTTTTTTTTTTTTTTTGCAAACCAACCAATCAGTAATGCTCTTCATTCATGAAAATTAGCCAAACAAGAATGGGCTGCCTCCACTAACCACACCTGAATGCCAACTTATCAACAACAGTCCCACCCAAGTAACCATACCCTTACAGATGATATCAACTCACTTACGCCCCTGAAAAGCTGCCAATTCTTGAGCTCCGCCCTTCCCCAAAACCCTATATAAGAACAGAGGTCTACTCTGCTGGAGAGGTTCTACAGGGTCAGCATCGCTCCCTTATTGTAATAAGCAACAGAATCAGCTTTATGCTTTTTTCAGCTATTGAGAGGTGGTCTCATCTTTCAACAGGATCAATTCAGAAAGCAGAATTCTAAACTGATTTGGTTTCTACAAGTAAATGGCAGGAGAAAAACAGGGGCAGACTGTTCTAGATGAAGAGAAGCTTCTGTTCTTGTATAAGAAATACAACCAAATGAAATGTGCAGACTTTTAGGACTATAAAAAATACCGCTTTGGCAAAAATCTGAAAACTCTGCTTAAAGACTGGTATTAGATGGTACCTAAGCATTATTACTAGCATTGTTAGATGTGGTTATGTAAGAAAACATCCATACTTTTTACTGAGGCAAACTGAAGTAGGTGAGAAATGACATGTCTGTAATGCTTACAATATTTCAGTAAATTAGAAGAAAAGGGAATAAATGGAGCAAATGTGGTAAAATCTTCATGACTTGAATCTGAGTGATTGGTATACGTGTGTTCATTGTATTACTCTATTTTTGTGAATTTCATTTGAAAATTTTCATAATTTAAAAGAGAAAAGAAGGCAGAGGAGGAATGGTCAAGCAAAAGAGACTAAAGGAGGAATGATTAGAGAGGTAGGAGAAGCCGACGAGATGATTAGGAAAAGCTAAGGAGGGTGGGAGTGGCCAGCAGTGTCAAATGCTCCTCAGACCTTCCTTAACTTGTCCCATCTAAAATGGCTCCTGCCCCTGCCTTCTCTCACACTTCAAGAATACCCTGGTTTCCCATCCATGAAATACAGTTTGGGGAATATAATCAATAATGTTGTAAAGATTATGTGGGGTGCCAGATGGGCACTGGACTTATTAGGGAGATCACTTCATAGACTGTGTCGATACCTTACAACTGTGCAATACATCTGAAGCTGAGGTTGAATAATATTGAATGTCAACTATAATTAAATCTATATAAATATTGGGTTGTCAGAAATGACGTATTTTTTCTATTTTTCGTTGCAAAATGCATCATGACCTTTCTGACAACCCAATATATTTAGTCTCAGGAGGTGGAGTACAACATACGGAATAGGGTCAATGGAATTGTAACAGCTATATTTGATGTTAGAGGGTAGTAGATTGAGGGGTTATCACTTTGTGAGGGATGTGAATGTCTAACTATTAAGTTGTTTTGTACACCTGAAACTAAAAAAATAAAGAATACCCTGGTTTATTATCACTATTACTCCTACACTACCTGAAATTATTATATTTAGTTGTTTAAATATTAATTCCTCATCTCCCCCACTAGAATGCAAACTCCGTAAGACCACAGAAGATCTTGTCAGTCTTGTTCATACTGCATCCCACGTACATGTAGCAAGACCTCAATCATCTGTTGAATGAAGTGTGTGAACAAATGTCTGAGAGTCAACTTTCTAACAATCTGCCACTGGTTTAAGCAACGAGGAGATCACTGATGATGACAGTGAGAGAAGTTTCAATAGAGTGGCGAGCATGAATGACAAACAGGCTGTGGGATAAAAGCAGTCAAAAAAATGAAAGGCTGCTCTTCAAAGAGGCTTTGTGTTGAAAGGATGCGGGAAGATGCAGCAGAAAGTTGAAAGGAAGGCCAGGTCAAAGAAATGGTGATCTTTTTCCCCCAACACCAGAGTGTGCTTATTAGCTGCAAGGAAGGGGCTAGAGTAGATGGAGCGATGACGGTTCAGTGAACATTCATTTATATAGTAAATATTTTTTAACCTTTTTTATTGTGAAGAAAAACAAAGTGCAAAAGCAAAAAAAACCAAAACAACCCAAACCAAAATACACAGCTCAATGATTTACCACAAAGTGAATAGTCATCTGACCAAGAAATATAACATTGCCAGAAGCCCTCATCCAACGTAACCACTATCCTAATTTTGCCTCAGGCTTTTGTGATCTAAATATGGCCCCTAAAAACTATGCTTTCGTTTCTCTGCTTTTACAACTTTATAAATAGAATCATACAGTACTCATTCTTTTGTGTCTGAACTGCCTTTGCTCAACATTCTTGTGAGATTTACCCAAGTTGTTGCACATAACTGTGGTTTGTTCATTTTCTTTGCTGTATGGCATGCGACATCCATGGGCAAAAGGCCTCAGCCTGGTTTTTTATGGCTTTTGAGCTAAGAATGGTTTTTCCATTTTTAAAGTATTGGAAACAAACAATAAATAATATGTGACACAGACTATGTCTAAAATATTTACAGATAGTTTGTCAACCTGTTTTATTCCATTATATGAATATACCATAATTTATTAATCCATTCTACTGTTAATGATCCAGTTTCCAATTTTTGACTATTATAAACAATGCCGCTGTGAACATCTTTGTACTTGCTTCTTGATGTGCAAGTACCCTGATGCATATAAATTGGGTGCATGCCTAAAAGTGGGATTATTAGATGAGGGTAGACAAATATTGGATTTTAGAAGACAATGCCAAAAACTCCTTTCCAAAGTGGTTAGACGAGTATTTATATTCCTTCCAGCTATGTATGAAAGTTGCCACTTGCTCCAGCACTTAGTACTGTCAGTCTTTTACTGTTAGTCATTCTGATGGGTATGCAGTTGTAGCTTGTTGTGGTTTTATTTGCATTTTCTGATTAATGAGGGTGAGCATCTTTTTATAAGATTATTGGCCATTGAATATCCTCTTTGATGAATGAAGTCCCTATGTCTCCTACCCATGTTTCTATTGGGCTGTCTTTTCCTTATTGATTGACTGGAGTTCTTGATATATTCTGTATACAAACCCTTTGTTGGTTATATGTGTTGCAAATTTCTTCTTTTATTCTTTAATGGAATCTTTTGATGAGAAAAAGTTATTAATTTTAATGTAATAATAATTTATCAATCTTTTCCTTTATAGCTAGTGCTTTTTGTGTCCAAAGACTACTTTCTTACCCAAGGTCATGAAGATATTCTCCTATACTCTTCTAGAATCCTTTTTGCCTTTTTACATAAATATATGTAAATATATATATGTACATAATATACTTGGAAATGACTTTTGTGTATGATGTGAGATAGGAATTATTTTATCTTTTTCTACATAAATACCAATTTTTCCAGCATGATTTATTTAAAAAGGTTGTTTTTCTACTGCTCTGCAATTTCCAATGGTCGTAAATCAAGTGCCCATATATGTACAGGTTTATTACCAGGTTCTCTATTCTATTGCACAAGTCTATTATCCCATACTTGTTTTAATACCATATTGCCCTAATTACAGTTACAGCAAAACTTGATACTTGGTAAAGCAAGTCTTCCTATCTTGATCTTCTTCAGAGTGTTTTAGCTATTCTTGGTTGTACTATCACACTAGAATTTATTAAGTTCCACACAAGAAACTTGTCAGGATTTAAATTTATATGCATTGAAACTATAGTTATGCTATCTAATATGGTAAGCGCTAGCCACGTACAGCCACTGAGCACTTGAGATGTGGCTAACCCAAATTGGAAGTGTAAAATGCATACTGAGTTTCAAATAAGTATGGGAAAAAATAATGCATCATATCCCAATAATCATTTTGTAATGTCGATTACACGTAGAAATGATAATGTCTTGGATATACTGAGTTAAATAAAGTATATTACAGTCATGTGTCACTTAACAGGGGTATGTTCTGAGAAATGTGTCATTATGTGATTTCATCATTGTGCAAACATCATAGAGTGCACTTACACAAACCTAGATGGTACAGCCTACTGCACACCGAGGCTGTGTGGGATAGCCTATTGCTCCTAGGTTATAAAACTGTACAGCATGGTACTCTACTGAATATTGTAGGCAACTGGGACACAGTGGTAAGTATGTAGTGTACATAATTGTATGTGCTACACTTTTATATGAATTACAGCCCAGTAGGTTTGTGTATACTAGCATCACCACAAACACCTGAGTAATGCATTGCACTAGGATGTCACAATGGCTATGATGTCACTACAAAGTTATAATGTCTACCATGTCATTAGGTGATAGGACTTTTTCAGCTCCATTATAATCTTATGGGAACACTGTCATATATGCGGTGTGTCACTGACTGAAACATTGTTATAGGGTGCACAACTGTACAATTAATTTTAACTGTTTCTTCTTACTTTTTTAATGTTGCTACTAGAAAATTTAAAATTATAACGTGGCTCATATTATATTTCTATTGGATAACACTGATTTATAGAACCAACATTTTTACAACACTGGGTCTGTCATAATATGAATATGGTACAACCTTCCATGTTATTTCGGTCTTAAAAATTTTTTTTAAATAAATTTTTTTAGTTTTCTGCATAGAGTTCTTATATAACTTTTGCTAGATTTATCCCTAGGTATTTGATATTTTCTATACTATTGTAAATAGTATGTTTTTAAAAAAAATTCCATTTTCTGTTGCTAGTATACAGACATGAAATAGACTTTATTTGTCTTTCTCAGTCTGACTTGTTTTACGTAGTTATATGTGGAATCTAAAGAACAGAATAAACAAACAAACAAAACAGAAATAGACTCAAAGATACAGAGAACAAACTGATGGTTGCTAGATGGGAGGAGGGAGGGGATAGGTGAGAAAGGTGAAGGGATTAGTAAGTACAAATTAGTAGTTACAAAATAGTCATGGGGATGTGAAATACAGTATGGGGGATATAGTCACTAATATTGTAAAAACTATGTATAGTGTCAGATGGGTGCTAGATTTATTGCAGGGATCACTTCATAAATTATATAGATCCCTAACCACTATGCTATTCATCTGAAACTAATATAAAATAATACTGAATGTCAACTATAATTTAAAAAATATGTATAGGCACAGGATGTAAAATACAACACAGGGAATTTAGTCAATGATATTGTAATGGCTATGTACAGTGTCAGATGGGTAGTAGACTTCTTGGGGTTATCACTTTGTGAGGTGTGTAAACGTCTAAGCACTATGTTGTTTTGTATACCTGAAACTAATCATAAAAATAGATTTTATTTATTCACCTTTTATATAGCAACTTTGCTAAACTCTTATTAATTTCAAGACTTTATATGAAGATTTGGATATTCTACAGATACAATCATGTTATCTAAATAGTGATAATTACATTTCTTCCTTAAGTGTTAAACCTTTTAAAACCTTAAACCTGGGCCGGCTGAGTGGCTCAGTTGGTTAGAGTGTGATGTCTGAGCAACAGGGCCGCTGGTTCAATCCCCACATGGGCTAATGAGCTGCTCCCACCACAACTAAGAATGAAGGACAACAACTTGACTTGAAGCTGATGGGTCCTGGGAAAAACACAATGTTCCCTTCCCCCAATTCCCCAACACTGTTCCCCTCCCCAATTCCCCAATAAAATCTTTAAAAAAAAACTCCAAAAACCTTAAACCTTACTTCTTTTGCTTGCCTTACTGTACTTGCTAGTACCTCCAGGACAGTGTGAACAGAAATGGAACAATGGGCATCCTTGTCATATTCCATGTCTCAAAGGCAAAGCTTTCAATATTTCACCATTAACACCAAGATAATATGAGTACTCTAAATCTATGGGGTTTGTTCATATTTGAACCACATAATACTGATGAATTTCTTAGTTATTTTTTATACTATAGCCAACACTCTAAAAAATGTTTGTTTTTTTTTTTTAGTTTGAAGCATTTATTTTTAAATCTCACCAAAACTTATCCACTAGGGAGTACTTACTTAAGGATCATAGTCATTGTTTCTTTTCGATCTTTTCCTTGGAAAGGTAGTGTACCAGTGAGCATCTCAAACTACAAAAAGGCAAAGAATCAGAGGTATTAGACAATAAGTATAAAATCTCAATGTCAGAAGGTAAGAAAGCATCATCTTAATTACAGCGAAATCTTCTGAAATTGCTATATAATAAAACAAGTGATTTATATTTTTACTATATTCATTACTGAACTTCTCAAAAAACCCCCTCCCCAAACCTTACCATTAACACACCAAAGGACCACCAGTCCGCACTCTGAGTATGACCTCGACGATTAACTACTTCTGGAGCCATATATTCCACAGTTCCACAAAAAGAATATGCCTTCTTTTCGTGGTCAATAGACTCTTTACTTAGGCCAAAATCTGCCAAAATAAATATCGAATTCATAAATATCCTACAATAATTTGCAAACATAAAGTTTAAATTTTGAGTTCCAATATTTACATTATTAAAAATTCTAATCCAAGATTTTAACACAATGTGTTGCTCATTATGTGTACCATGATCAATCTTAAAGGAAATTTATATAGAGAGTATTTATTCTCATTTTAATAAAATGAGAATTTTTACCTGTTAATTTGATGTGACCTTCTTCATCAAGAAGTATGCTGGAAAAAAAAAAAGACAAAGTCAGAAAATCTTTTCAAACCACTAGAGATTTATAGAAGCTAAAACCACATTCATTCTAAAATACTGCTTTAGGCAGTGAATAAGGCAAAGGTAAAGAAGGAAAGAAATTTTTTTTGGACACACACATATAACAAGCCCCAAAGGCAAAGCCTTATAAACTTCTATTAATGAGCCAGGGGCACTTGAAAACTATTCAGAAAAGAACCCAAACCTATATACTCTTCTACGTTGTTCTTTCTAATGCCTTTCTGCAGACGTGGTCTCACTAAACTCCCTAGTATTTGCAGAATAGACAGAGGGTCCACATATTTAAGTTGAATGTGATACAGTTGTCATTCTGGTCATTTTTTTCTTTTTTAAGCTGAGCCATCCTGCCACCTGTTGGCAGCTCAGTGGCTGCTCAGCTCGGGCTGGGAATCGAACCACTGTTGCTCAGAGCTCAAACTCTTGAGCAAGCTCTTAACCAACTGAGCCATTTGGCTGGCCCTTTCTGGTCATTTTTAACGCATCTAACTCAATCATTCTTTCCTAGCTTTTTTTCTGACGCAACCTACACAATCCTCTTCCCTTCAACACACCTTCCTCATCACACTGCTTGCTTTCATTGACCCATCCCTTCCCTGTACACATGCTCCAGTGCTTTCTCTTAGTAAACTGTGAGCTCCTAGAGTGTTTTATCTTATTTATCTTGTAGGTCAGTGCCTGGCCTAGCACAAATAAGAAATGTACGTTGAATGAATGAAACCAGTCTTCAAAGGGCCAATAAGCATTCCAAATAGTTTGGGCTTCTTCTCAAGGGCATTGAAGACTATAAAAGGTCTATATGCATGGAGGGTAGAGATAAGCATATCTGTAATTTCAGAAGACAATTTAGAGGGAAAAATAAAGGGTACTTAGTGATCTCTTAGATATGGGTTGTAATAAAGAAGAACAAATGGAGAAGACACTCAGGTTTCTGGCTTTAGCAGATACATGAGTGGAGAGTAACATCATTAATTAAGGAGATATAGAAAGGGGTAAGTACTAAGCTGTAAGCTAATAATTGTATTTCTGGATAGGTATTTTAGTATACTGACTTGAAAGATCAAGTAATAAACTGTTTCACTTATATGCAAAGCTATCCCATAATGTAGACATTTCCTTACTTTTATTTCTAACTAAAAAATGTGCAAGCCAAATTTCGTTATAATAAAATTTTACTATGTCAAAAATACTACCGATGTTCCTAGCCATCAATTCAACTATAATTACAATAAAGTTTACCACTGTGGGTAATTCAGTAGGGGCATATTTTTCAAGTCTCTTTATAACAAGTAACTTGTTATGAAAAAAACAAAACACACCAATCTTGATTATGCTTAATTACGAAGCAGATCAACACATCTAGGGAATATAGAGGGAATTACTAGGTATGGTGGAAATCACCCTCCCTTCTGTCTAATAAACACATGAAAGGCACTTCTAAAACCAAAACAAAACAAACCTCAAATCATTCTTGATAATTTTGAGAGAAAAAAGAAAACATTTGGGTAAAAGGGTATTACTTGTGCCTTCTAAATAAAGCATTCTTTTAAGATAACCATGCCCATCCTTTATCTTTTAAAGAAAAGGTCAACTGTATTACTCTCAATAAGCAAAGTTCCCTTTCAACTATTAATAATTATTTTTAGCTACATTTATTATAACAGAGTTCTAGTTTAAAAGTATCTGGAAAATCCCTTACAGTGCATAAAACAATTGGTCTAAAGACTTAAATTTCTTCCAAGTTCTATATAATGGTTTTTACTTGTATCATTTAACAATTAAGAGTTATTTTGATTTAATAGCATTGTCTAGACATGTATGTGAAAGATCTCACTCTAAACAATCTTACCTACATTTTATCTTATTCGACCTTTGAGACAGGGCCCATGCTTTAATCATAACTGTATGACCAATGTTAATACAACAGTCTACAATAAATACATTCAATTAAATGACATAAAACACTAACATATTTTTATTATGAACATTTAATCTTATGTTTATAGCAATTTTTTTCTTCTAAGAATTATATGCTTGAATATTTATTCTCACCAGGAATTATATCTTATGTAATAGTTAGAAATTGGGAAAATGATAAGAAAACCTCATTAATTATCTGGGAAATAGAAATAGAACCATATGAAACTTATCCAAAAACAAAATACATGAAAAACATAAAATGTGAAAGTATAACAATTTCTAAATGACCACTTAACAGGATTTCAAAGGAGTATTTCCTCTATTTTCTATTGTAATATATTATTTAAATTTTGCATGTAACATTTTAATGTAAGTAATATCCAAATTCTTGATAAAGATGATGGTTGTAAAACTCTGTGAATATACTAAAAATCATTGAATTTTACACTTTAAATAGTAAAGTGTATGGTATGTGAGTTACATCTCAATAAAGCTGCTTAAGGGGCCGGCCGAGTGGCTCAGTTGGTTGGGAGTGCGAGCTGAGCAGCAGGGTCACAGGTTCGACTCCGACATGGGCCAGTGAGCTGCGCCTGAGCTGAGCTGTTGCTGGGCTGCCAGCAGGTGGCGGGATGGCTCGGCTGGTGAGAGCACATGCTCCTACCACCCGCAACTGGGACTGAGCATGGCACCTTGAGCTGAGCGGCCGCGAGCTGCCGGACTGGACTTGGGGCTCAGCTAGCTGCGCCCTCCACAACTAAGATTGAAGGACACTGGCTTGGGTGCTCCCATTCCCCAGTTCCCCAACACTGTTCCCCTTTCCCAATTCCTCAATAAAATCTTTAAAAAAAATAAAAAAAAAATAATAAAGCTGCTTAAAAAAATTCTTGATGGAGCATGGCTCTTGTTTATGTCCTTAAAAAAGGAAAAATAAAAACTTTCTTACTCAAAGTGGTAAACGCTGCCAAATTAAAACACAGATGTGTATACAACTTAAATAATATTAGTGTCTTGATAACTGCTATTATCAAAGCAATGGGAATTTGCTCAATTTACACTTAAAATTTGAAATCATGTGGAGAACAAAATTTTCAGTAAATGGTATTTGGAGGAAAGCATTAGCTCTTTGCCATACTTCATACCAAAAAATTTCTAGACGTAGTTAAAATATAAAAAGAACCATAAAATTAGAAGAAAAATATCTGATCATGGGATTGGAAAAGACTTTCTAAGAATAAAAATCATGGAAGAAATCACAAAAGAAAAGATTCATAGATCTGACTAAGAAAAAACATACTTGTGAACGTTAAAATAACGAAGTTAAAATTAAAAGATGAACTAGAAAAATGTACTTGCAATATATGTCAAATGGTTAAATTCTTAATTTGTAAAGGTCTTTTACAAATAAATGGGGAAAAAATAAAATTCCAAAAGAAAAATGAGCAAAGGCCATGAACAGAAAAATCACCCAAAAATACAAATTCCAATAAACATATGAACATAGATTTCAACCTCATTAAAAATCAAAGAATGCAAATCAAAGCAAGATAACATTAACAGGAATTTTCATTAACAGATATTTAAAAGTATGAGAATACATAGTGTTAGCAGAAATGTGAAGCAGTCATGCTAATGCAATGCTTATGGTAGTTCTATGAAGTAATTTTATTTTTTATTACCTCCAAAATAATGATATTACATTGTATTCAACTTAGTAGCATGATTCCTTACTTTTCTGGTTTTAAGTCTCTATAGATTATTCCCAGGCTATGTAGATGGTCTAAAGCAAGTGCAAGCTCAGCCAAGTAGAATTTGACATCTTCTTCTGTGAACATCACCTAAAAATAAAATAAGTTTTTTGACTTTATTTTCTTTTTATATCTGTAATTTTTATTTAAAGTTCTGTCCTAGAGTTTAAATATTCAAAAAATTATAAATATGCTATTATATGTAGTTTTATCCACAATTTACTTATGAAAGAAATTTGCAATAATGATCAAATCATTCAACTAATCACTTACTAATGCTGAATAGGCACTGTGGGGTAAATCATTTTACATTTTGTTAAGTAATAACTATATGTAGATTGTGTCATGGCTGCCCTATCGCAGTAACCATCTTAGAAATGAAAACTAATTTTTAAAATGCATGCTGAATTTCCACTACTAATTCCTTAAGGATATCTTGCTAATATATTATTACTTCTGAAAAAACCCCCACTATAACTAAAAGAAGTAGGACAAAAGACAAAGACAGTTAATTAGTTTAAAGTTCTACTTTTAGAATAAATTCAAAACGTGGGAAAAGAAGTCTTTTTGGTTCTGATTCTTCAATGTAAGAATCTTGTGCCACTAGAGAAAATATGATAAACATAATATTGAAATATAACAAAGCTTTAGTTGAAACAGGATGAGTATAAATAGATTAAAAATAAAAATTATATACCTCTTTGGATAAGCGTGTAAACAAATCTCCTCCCCTGAGAAAATCCAAAATAAGATACAACTTCCCTTCAGTTTGAAAAGCTGAATGAAGAAATGAAAATTTTCGATTAATCCACCATAGTTTATTTTCTTAGGCTTACATTAGGTCAGTATTCACAAATGAATATTATTTTTAGCAAATTAATCATTTGTTATCATAGGTCCAAACTGATTTTTATTTAGAAGATAACCACCAGTTTCTCTTAGTTTCCATGTGGTAATGTTAAATGCAGTATTTCTTATTATGGAACCACTAGAACATTTGTTAGATTTTCTTCAGGCAACAGTCTTCCAGGAATACAATAGTTCTAAAACATGTGATCAAGAAGAAAAATTCCGAACAGAAAAAGACTTACTTAAACATGAAACTAAATACAAAAACCATGCCACTTAAGTACAGAAAAAATGTGGGTTGGGTAGCTTTAATTACACATAAAAAGAATCCCCACATGTTTACCCACTGAGAAAAAGCACATATGTCTTTGGGGAAAAGAAAGGTGATAAAAATTTCAGGACACTATGGATCTTTCTTATTTTTAAGTTGGGCTCACACATATAGACTATAAAATGCTGGTACATTATTATTTATTAATATAATAAAAATGATTATTATTACCTGTTCTTATGGCTACCCCTCAGAAACTATAACGTTTAAAAGAAACATAAGCTAAATGTGATTAAAAGCTTCTAAACTTTGTCTAAGAAATAATGGTTTAATTTCCACAGCTTTAGTCTATGTATCTGTTAAACACATATAAATATACACAAATACATATTTATATACATTAGTATACCTGAATGCACTCAAGGGAGTGGGGGATGAGGTGAAGGAATGAGGTGGGAGGTGGTTCATAACTTACTTACCATAATGCAACTTGACAATGAAAGGATGATTAACTTCTACCAAGATATCACGCTCCATTTTTGTCCGAACACGGTCTCGAACTATAAAATATTGCACATGTGGCTACATTGCAATAGCTTTCAGAGACAATCTTTAAAACAAAATATCTTTGGTGCCTATTTTAAATAAAATTTTGCTTATACGTATAAAAATGTGAATTTATATTTTTATACATATTACTCTTAAATTTTCAAAATTAATAACTATATATTTTTTACTAAACTATATAACCAGAAGAAATTATATATATTTATAAAATCTGTGCTTAAGTTAAAAAATAAATACAGAGAACATATTTGATATTGGCTTTAACATCAAATTTATAAGTATTTTAATCAAAATTATGAGAAATGGCCAAAAAAGAGCAACTTTTTAAAAACAAGGCATCCTAATATTAAAACACAAAAATGGAATAGCATTGTTTTGTACACCTGAAACTAATAATAATAAAAAAAAAGGAATAGGTTTCAATACCCCTATCAACCCTATCAACTCAATTCAACAAACATTCATTAAGCATCTGTGAAACATGGCAGATATGGGAAAGAATGGATATGCCCCAAAAGGTCTACTTTGAGGGAAAGAGAAGAGGGAGTGGGGAGGAAATACTGTGTGACAGTTGAAAGAGCGAAGGCTTTTTGGAGTTAGAAAGATCTGGACTCAGATCTGTGTAACCCTGAGCAAGTTACGTAACTCTCTGAGCCTCAGGTACTTGTCATCTACAAAATGCGGATACACCACTGTACCCTTGGGGGCTGTGTTAGCATTTGAGATAAGGTTTGTACATCCCAGATCCCAGTATATAAGAGAAATTCAATTAAATGGTAGCGATAGCACCATAAATATGATAGAGAAAATGATTTATTACCAACAATAAGTAGAACAGGAATTCAGAAAAGGGAAAGATCGGTTTTACTTGCATAGGAAGGCTAGAGGGAAGAGGTGGGGTTGGAGACTTGTAGAGCAGGGTTTAGATGGGTGGGAAGGGCTGGGCCTAGAGAAGAAAAGTCCAGGTATGGAGTACCAGCACAAGGAAGGACATGGAGGCATGCCTGATCAACGGGAAGGAACCACATCACTGTGGGAAGTGGGGAGGTGAAATAGGAAGGATCCAGACGCTTGACAATTCAGAATGCCAGGAAGAATTTATGTTTGACCCCATCGACAAAGCTCTCTTTTATCAACCAAACATTTCCTGAGAAAATTCTATGTGCCAGGCACTATGGGATAAATACAAATAAAATAATCTTCAAGAAGCTCATAATCTGGTGGGAAAGACAGACAAGTAAATAAATGATTAGAATACATTCTGAGATGTACTCTAATTGTGTTGGTAGCTCAATGGACATAAGAGGTGAAAATGATCATTCATTAAAGTTTTAATTTTTTTCTGTTGCGTAATAAAAAGGATAAAGCATAGATAAGTTCTATTTTTCAGGCTAGAGTGACTGAACGACTGTGCCAAAGATTAAATAGAAAGAATAGTAAAGAGAGTCTTTTGCGGGGGAGGGTAAGGACAGAAAGAAAGGTGAGCTGGTTCTCTTTTCAATGTAAGGTGACCACAGATATTTAAAACACAGAAATAAGACCTCTGGGAAAAATAAGCAAAGAAGCTTAAAAAAACCCAAAAACCCTATTTTTCATTCTATCAGTTTTTCACTTCCAACTGGGAGGTTTTGGTGCCAGTGACTGAAAATGGTCAAGCCAGGAATAGGAATAGATTGCTCTTGATGTCTATACAGCTCTTTGTAGCTGACTTGTCCAGTTGGTATATCAACCTCTGATTTCATTATCTTGTCCTATCAGTACAACTCTGGTATCTTATATCCAACAGGCCCTTTCTATTATTTATGTGAATGAGGTTCATCACCTAGGCCTGCTGATAATTCTGTCCCAGTCTAGCCCAAATCTGCCCTTTTCCCATTGCTACCCATACAATCTTTGAGTAGATTCCTGTTACCTTAAATTTCTACCTCTTTCAATAATTATACAAACCTTACACAGCTCATCATTTAATAATCACTTCTCTATTCAGAAGAAGCAAAATTATCCATCAATATTTACTGTATATCCCTCTGCTATTATTCTACCACAATGGGAGTCAAAAGCTATAGTTTGGTGGCCATACTAATATTAATAACTAGGTGAGTTACGTTGGTCAAATCCTTTTAGTGCTCAGGGACTTCCTGCTTCATTCTCTCTAAAATGAGAGGTGATTTCCTTTCTATTATGATTATCTTGTGAGATAGTTTCCTTATACGTAATGCTGATGAAACTTTGTTTAGTTGAAAATGAGCAGTGAGATTCACTCAAAAGAATTCCTTCATGTTGTCTGAGGTAGAACTGTGTAATAATTCTAATCTTGTTTCTTATACTTATGTAAAGACTAAGTGATAAATATAAATCATCCTATAATCAGGAATTTTGATTAGGATATCATGGGTCATAAAAAGGCATGTTTTATATTGGTTAAACTCTAAACTCTAAAATAGAATTTGTTTATACTGACTCATTTTGGTAAAGCAACTACATTATTCTGAAATAATTTTTCTTACATACTAATTATCAGATTTTGAACCCTCCTTGACTTGAACATAAGAGTGAACAAGAAGAAATGCTGTTTGTTTCTAGGACACTGTACTAAGAAACTGTCTTAAACAATGGTTTACAAAACCTTTTAAGCTCATAAACTACTTCATTAGGACAAAAATCCCCATAAACCCCACCTAATGCTATAGACTTCTATTTGACCACATTTATTGTATTAATAGGAACTTTAAAATGGAAGGAGACTTCTGGTTAAGCATGGATGTTTTACTTTCTTCTAAAACCCCAATGAAATGACAATAATGGAAAAATTATGCATAAACTCACAAGGACAGAACAGGAGAGGAAGTAGTAGCAGAAGATGATGAGTAAGTGGTAACTCACACAGCAGATCAGAGAAAGCTAAAATCTAAGCCTAAGAAAAGGAAGTCCGGTCGGTGAGTAATAAGCAAACTCTTGCCACAAAACTTTCCAATCAGCTTTTTGGTCCCTCACTCTTAAATGAAAGATAGCAAAGGACCCCCAAGCATTTGAGGAAAGGTTCTAAACATGAGAAACAGTTACCAGAATAAACAGGGAAAAAAAGGCATAAAGGGAAAGAGAGACAATATAAAAAACAAAAGAAAACTTAAAAATCAACCTTGTAATTTATATCCACTGAGAGAGCAAAGACCACATGGCACCCATGAAATAAGAAGCTTTAAAAGAGGTATGGGAGAAGGAATCAGTATCTTCAACAAATAAACTACAAAGGAAAAAAAAAAGAAATGGAGACAGAAATCATAGATTAAAAGTCATAAAGAGATTTCAACCAATTACAAAATGTAGACCATATATGGATCCCGATTCAAACAAACTGCTGAAAGAAAATGAATTATAAAATAGGAACAACTGGAAATTTGAACACTGATTGGATATCTGTATATTGATTTTTAGGTATATGATAGAGTTGTATTATTTCTTTTAAGATACATACTAAAATATTTATGGAAGAAATTATACAATGTCTAGGATTTGCTTTAAAATATCAAGTGGGAAAGGGGCAGAACACAGATAAAAAGACTGATCATGAGTTGAAAAATGTTGAAGCAGAGAGAAGAGCATACGGGGGTTCTCTATAGTCTTCTGTTTCTTTCTGTAAATGTTTGACACTTTCCATAATACAAAATTTTTTTAAAAAATGGAATAATTAGAGAACAAGGAAAATCTAGGAAATTAAAAAATATGGTAGAAACAAAAAGGTCAATAGAAGAGTTGGAATACTTTCCCAAAACTGAAGAAATGAGTTTCTAGATTGAAAGAGACTATTCCATACCTAGTGAGATGAATTTAAAAAACCCACAATAAGAAATACCACTATAGGGCCGGCCGAGTGGCGTGATGGTTAAGAACTCGCTTGGGATGCCAGAGGGCCCCGGTTCGGATCCCACATATGAGGGCCAGTGACACTGCCCTCCACAGCTAAGATGCTGAACAACAGCTCAACCTGGAGCTGGGCTGCCATGAGTCGCCGGCGACGGCGTGGGCTGCAGTCCCTGTGGCAGTGGATTGCCATGGGCTACCGTGTGTGGCCAGCAGCCAGCGTGAGCGGCCAGCAGCTGCAGTGAGCGGCCGTCCAGAAGCCGGCGACTGATCTGCCTCGCCAGAGAAGAGCGCAATGATGGTGCCAACTTGGGCCAGTGAAGCAACATCCTCCACAACTAGATTGAAGAACAAAACAACAGCAACTTGTCTGTTCCCCTTCCCCCAACTCCCCAGCACTGTTCCCATCCCCCCAATTCCCCAATAAAACAAAAAATCTTTAAAAAAAAAAAAAAGAAATACCACTATACAAATTACAGAACATCAGGGATAAAGAGTAGATTGATTTTAAAGCCTTCCAAAGTGGCAAAGCAGCTTACACACAAAGGACTGGGAATCAGAATGCAATAAACTTCATAATTGCAACACAGGAAACTGAAAGACAATGGAGAAAATGCCTTCAAATATCTGAAGGAAAATTATTTCTGACTTAGAATTTCACGCCCAGCCAAATTATAAATTATGTGCGGGGGGCAGAATAAAGGCATTTCAGACAAGCAAGGTCACAGAAATTTACCATCCATCCGTCCTTTCTGAGGTAGCTACTAGAAGATGTGTTCCACCAAAACTAGAAAGTAAACTAAGAAAAAGGTAAATACAGGATTTAGGAAAGGAGATCGAATACAGCAAAGATGTGAAGGAAATGTGACTCCAGTACACTATCTGGCTCAGCTAGGAACAATTTTCATAAAGCTGTAATAATGAAACCAGTTTTTATTAAAGCTGTAATAATGAAAACAAAACATGAAAAGGGAAATTGTGTGTGGGTAGTATAAGAGAACTAAATCCTAATATTCCACATTAGGAAGTCAATAGATTATGTCTCCAAATGAAAACAATTAAACAATCGCAATATAAGAGTACTGAATGGGAAGGTAAATGGCAGCAGCTACAGAGATGAAAGTCATTGTCTCTGGGGGTCAAGAATCAGGACAGGGAGGAGGCGAGGTAAAACACTGCTGTTTTATAAGGCTCCATACACATAATACTTGGACAAAAATAAAAACGAAATTTATGTACACATTAAGAATTATCCAGCAGCCTACAATTCCTATAAGTCAAATATTTTCACTTTTCTATGATCTCTTTTACAGCTTATATCTATGTAATTTTACATATGTATGGTAGCCAAATCTGTTATAATGGTATGTATATATATATATATATATATATATATATTTTTTTTTTTAGCTGAGCCATCCTGCCACCTGTTGGCAGCTCAGCGGCTGCTCAGCTCGGGCTGGGACTCGAACTGCTGTTGCTCAGAGCTCAAACTCTTGAGCGAGCTCTTAACCAACTGAGCCACTCGGCCGGTCCAATATATTTTTAATTAAGTTCATTTTTGTGATTATACCTGAAGTGTTTTATTTAAATAATAGCCTATTTAGTGGTATCCCATAATTTTCTAAACATTCCTCTATTTCTCAATATTTATGTGACTTCTAAATTCTCAATATTGTAAATAATGTTACAACAAGAATTTTCAAGTGCATAAACTCCTTCTTGAGATTACTTCCTCAGGCTAATTTAGCAGCAAAAATGGCTCTTTGTGCTTATTGCAAAACTGCTTTCCAATTTATGTTGCCATCATATAAAATAACTCATTTTATATGCATTTATTTATCAGCAAAATAGAACATTTTTCCAAAGAGTATTTCTTTTAGTCTCTTGCATAAAATTTATTCTGAAATCCTTTAGGTGGAGGCTGTAATGTTATTTCTTAGGAACTCTTAACTCAATCATTCCTTTTACATTTATAAGTTGAAATTCTACTGTAAGGAAGTGCTTTCTGCTGTTCCCCATTAATTAATTTATGGATTAACTCATGGATTCTTATTTTACTCAGTGGGTTGTAATCTATCACTATCACTATTTATTGAAATGTTCAAATTGTCCTAGATTTGGCTAGAAAGAGCCCTTTAATCAATTCCTTATATTAATATTTTGTAATATTTGAGGCAAACAATTTCCTGATTTCCTATTCATAGTATTTTTCATTATACGAAAGACTAAAATTTATTGCATTGTCAATTTGTTTGTGATTTGCTCAATATCTCTTCACAAATTTTCTAGATGTGAGAAGTTGTAAAATTCAGCTCGATTGCTGTTTATTATGATATAGAGTTTAAAAGAAGACTAATTTTTTCCCCTGGTTGCTCAGGAGTATTTCAGATAAACTTTATGAAATCATTAGTTACCATATTTTCCCATGTATAAGATGCTCCCATGTATAAGACTCACCTTAATTTGGGGGCCCGAAATTTGAAAAAAAATGTATTACATAAAGTTATTGAACTCAAGTTTTATTCATTATAAAATTTATACAACTCCTCATCACTGTCAAAACTCCCAACCATTAGCTTGTCCTCATCTGTGTCTGATGACGAGTCACTGTCTTCATATATTGCCTCATCCTCAGTTCCATCTATGGCATTTGAAATCTACAACCACTGTAAAAGACGCACCCAGTTTTTAGACCCTAAATTTTTTGAAAAAAGGTGCGTCTTATACATGGGGGAATACGGTAAGTTCCCATTATTCTGTACACCTGCTTTGTCATACAGCACAGGAAATACTCAATATTTTTGTAACAAATACATTAAAATTTAATATATAATACTTTTGTACTGTTTTGTTACACTGATTTGTATGCCTCTATTACTCTCCCTAATAACACACTAAATTATTACTTTAAATAGGTTTTAAACCTAAGAGTTTGTTGCTTTCTCATTCTTCTTTTTTAGAATACTCTTTGAGGTGTATGCTTTTCAAATGAAATTTTGACTATTTCAAGGAAAATGCAACTAGAATCTTGAGGATATGGAGCTAATTAGATGGTTAGAGGAATATAGAGATTCTTAACAACAGTTAGCCTTCTCTAAAAGGAATTGGGAATTTGTTTCCTTTCCTTGTATCTTTTAGGTTTCTCAGAGTTTCATAATGAGTTCCATCTACAGTTTTATAACATGGAATTCATGAGTATAAAGTTACAGAAATAGTGATACAAAGTAGGGCACTAAGGATATAATTTAATTCCCTGGTCCTAGCAAGAATCAAATTGAGTAGTATTCCAGGGGTAGAGACTGGATAGGAAAGAAACAAATTACATTCAGGAAGGGAACAAGAGAATGGATATTTATAGAGGAAGGTGAAATTTCTTGGAATGATGATAATATCCAGAGTGAGTGACTAATTGGGAAGAATAACATCAGAAATAATAAGTGATCATCACCGAAGTTCTTCCCAGAATATTTAAGAAACTCTAGAAATTACAGGTACTTTGAAGAAGAAAATAATGATGTTAGGAATCAATACATAAAGCTACTAGAGGTTATGTGGTAAAATAAGTGATACTACTAAATAAAAGGAGGATTTAAAATCTATATACAATTTCTCGTAAATGACTGTTTACCTATAAGAGCCAAATCCTACATTAGGTTTCTTCAAAATCAGAGGCTTGGAATAAAAACTTATTTGGAGACCAGATGTCAAGAGGACAAAGTCCTTAGAATAAAAACTACTTTGCATCCCGGAAAACAGTAAGTTTTTGAAACATTAAAATAATTATATTAATTTGAAGATGAATCAAACCCAGTTTTAATCTTCTAAACTTCTACTTGCCTAAAGCCCAAGATGAATTGATACTTCTTTTATAACATGGCAAGTCCAGTTCTCACTAGTCTTGATTCCTAGACCAGTAGGAAAAATTCACGAAAAGAAAGTCTAAATTTAAAGATGGTAACAGGAACAGATTCAGAAAGCAAGTGGCCTAGATGTCACATGAGGTCCATTGAAATCTGTCAGTTTGTTTATATTACATGAACATTACAAACAGTAACAGCACTTACCTTTCAGTGTGGCCTTCTTCAATACTTTCATGGCGTAAAGCTGTCTAGCATCAGAGCCTGAGATTTTTTTGACTAAGAAAACCTGTATTTAAATAAGGGAAAATAAGTTTTACGAAGTATCAAAACTATATATACCATTGTTAAAATAAGACTCCTGCTATAATATAGTTTATTATCAGAAAGATTCTGATACATTGTAGATCAACTATTTTCCTTAAAATGTATCAATTATAAATACAATGAGTTGTATACAGTGGTTGTAACTTGGGGTGTCAATATAAGTGAATACATTTCTTTATTTTTGTTGTTTGCCAATTCCTAAAGAATTGTAACATATATGTAACATATAAGACAGAAACAAATCTTTAAATTATGTAGCAATTAGAGAAAAATCTAACCTTTTTAAAGTACAACACAGGTGGTGATTGCTTTGCTTTTTAACAAAACAAAAATTCTTCTGATTCCATAAAAATTATTATACAGGAGTTCCCCTTGACTACAATTTTCTGTTACTATAATTATTCACTGATGAATGGTCTTTTCTATATATGAGAACTGTACATAGGTTTATTTCTACTGGGCAGAACAATTTAAAACACACTGACGAAGCCTATTCACAAATATTTAATGTAACTTAAGAACTCCTACTCCCCAGCTTTAAAAATCAAATGATCACATATACCTAAATATGAAGAACATGATTCTCAGGTATGCTATTGAGCATCTTGGTTTTCCAAATATTTTTTAGCTCCTTTCGACAAATAGTGTGGGATTTATAAAAAACAAATAAAGCCTGCTCTAAGTAATTCATGGTCACACTACAACATGGCTAATAGAAAACTATCAATAAATCTCTTCTACTCATTTTGACCATTAGTTTCATGATCTTTTCCATCAAACCTTGAAACAGACCCACTAAATGTACCTGAATTTCAACTCTTTTTCTCCTACCCATTCTTTCCTAGCAGTGTGATTCAGCTGCCACAGATGGGGAAGAAGAGACACAATTACGATCAAGAATTAACTTTAGGGTCAGCTCTCCATTATCTGCCAGGCTATGAGCACAAAATCAAAAACCTATTCTAGGGTAAGGCAGAGTTCCTCACTTGGAGAAACTGTGCCAAAGGCACTGGGGCAGTGACCTCAAGTCAAGTGAAGAGCACCAGCACTTGCAGTGAAACCCTGATGCAGGGTGAGTTCTTCTCCCCAAATCACGCCCTCCTTGTTCCCTTCACTGTTCCCCACCCTTTAGTTCCTTTCAGCCAGTTAGCAGTGAGCCAACCTAAGGAGACAAAAGCATTCTTAATGAGGGTGGTTCCTAAGGATGGAATGATGTTTAAATGCTAAAGGTTATCAGAGATTATTAATATTTTTGAACAGAAATAAATTCTAATTAGGTGGAGGTAATTAGGATTTAGCTGATATTTATTCATTCTTAAGATTCCCCAAGCTTGTTTGAGCCATTCTACAAGAAATATTCTCCTTGTGGATTCCAAACTTTCTTCACCCTTCTTTGAAAGCACACTCTTAACAATTTTTAGCACTTCTTTGTTGTAAAGGACCTTCACAAGCATTTTTAATACATCAGTATAATTTTGGGAGGCAGGCCTACTAAGTAATGCCTATTCTATAGCTGCCCAAGCTAGGGCTTAGAGAGGTTCAACAATCTGTTTAGTGTCACAGTGGAGGTACTGGGACAAGAACCCAGCCAGTCACCAAGCTGTGTGTTCCTGCTCAGGGTGCTCTTCTTACTCTGGTGCCTTTGGCTGATCACCAGTCAAACATAGCAAGAGCAGCCGCAGTCCCAGATGCCATCGGATCTTCCCAACCAGAGCATTTCTGACCTTTCGAACTCCCCCATGATGCTATTTTAGGCTCTGACAGGTCATCCCTGTTTTCTTGGCTTGGATTGGCTTTTCAGGATGAGTAAGAAAGGAGACACCCTATTTTTACTGTTTGCTATTTATAGTAAGGTATTTAAAGAAATAAAGGGAGAAGCATGCTAACTCCTGAAAACTTAAATGTTGTGTTCCCTGAAAATCTAATGTATAGAAATAAACCCATCTATATACCTTGCATGATAATACAATTTCATAGTAGATGTTATGTGCTTGGCCTTATATAATTTAATTCTCGCTACTACCCTGTGAGGTCTATTATTTACTCATTAATTCTTTCCAGAATTATATGCTAAGTATTGTGCTACCAGTTCAATGCTGAGACATGGTACAAGGCATGGCCGCTGCACTCATAGAACATATAGCCTAGTGGGGGAAAGAGCCAGTAAACAAATAGTTATACAAATGAAAAACTGCAGTTGTGAGTGTTGTGAAGATGAGGTACATAATGTTCTGAGAGAGTAAAATCGAGGAATATGACCTAGTCAGGATGGTAGGGAAGACTTTGGGATGATAAGCATGACAGGAGCTAACCAGATGAGGAAGGCATGGGGGTAGGGTGGAGTATTTCAGGCAAACGGGAAAGCATGTGCAAAGGCTTTCTAGCGGGATGGAGCCTGGTGCTAAGGGACTGAAAAAGAAGACCTATGTGGCCAGAACACCGTTAGTAAAAAGTATATAAAGCGATGTTGAGGTAGCCAGTGTCCCGGACCTAGGGGCTCCTCGGCCATCTTAAGAATTTGTCTTTAGGGCCAGCCGAGTGGCGCGTTGGTTAAGAGCTGGCTTGGGACGCCAGAGGGTCCCGGTTCGGATCCCACATATGAGGGCCAGTGACACTGCCCTCTACAGCTAAGATGCTGAACAACAGCTCAACCTGGAGCTGGGCTGCCGTGAGTCACCGGCGACGGCATAGGCTGCAGCCCCTGTGGCAGTGGGTTGCCATGGGCTACCGTGTGTAGCCAGCAGCCAGCGTGAGCGGCCAGCAGCCGCAGTGAGCAGCCATCCAGAAGCCGGCGACTGATCTGCCTCGCCCGGGAAGAGTGCAATGATGGTGCCAACTTGGGCCAGTGAAGCAACGTCCTCCACAACTAGACTGAAGAACAAAAGGACAGCAACTTGTCTGTTCCACTTCCCCCAATTCCCCAGCGCTGTTCCCATCCCCCAATTCCCCAATAAAAATCTTTAAAAATAGAATGTCTTTATCCTAAAAGCAAAGAGAGGCTAATAAAGGGTTAAGGGGGTGGAGCATAAGATTAGCTCAAGTTGGCTGCCTGTAAGTAATGGCCTGAGGAAACAATAAATTTGGGAAGTCCCCGTTAGGAGCCTCCTCCAAATGCTGGCGAGGCAGTGGAGAAGGAGAAGACAGGCATGATTTGAGAAATCTTTACTAAATCAACAGGACTTGCTGACAGATCAGATCAGTGGTGGGGGGTGTGGGGCGAGACAAGGGGAGGACTAAAAGGATTTATCATGAATGCCTCCCAAGTGTCTGGCTTGCTTAACTGGATGCCATTCATAGTGACAGAGAAAAATGAAACAGGATAGGTTGGGGGTTAGGGGAACATCATCAATTTGGTCTTAGACATGTTGAGTTTAAACTGCCTTTGAAACATGTGAAGAGAAAAAATAAGCAGCTGTACACAAAGTTCAGAACTTGGGGGCACGATCTAGATTGGAGCTATAAATCTGTTACATTGGCTGTATAGGGGTTATAATTAAGATAGTGGGAACAGAGAACATAATTAGTACGAAGTATAGAGTAAGGAGGAGGCAGCCTAGACTGGAACCTTGAGGAACTTCAATACTTAATGACTGACTAGAAGAGAAAAATGAGGCTCCAAGAGGTTAAATAACTTGCTCAAGCACACATAGCAAGCAAGTACAATAAAAAAAATTGTCAAACATATGGTGATGGAAGGAGAGCTGACTCTGTGTGGTGAACACAAAATGTGATACACAGATGATGTACTACAGAATCGTACACTTGAAACCTATGTAATTTTACTTACTATTGTCACCCCAATAAATTTTAATTAAAGAAAAATTTAATCCAAGTCTGGCTGACCTAGAGTCCAAACTTACAACTGTTATGTTCTGCTGGCTACTTATTATATTTAGATGAAAAGCAACACTTTGGGTTTGAAAGAGGTTAACAGCTATAACAAGTTACCCAGGTTAGCGAAGAATTGCTAACTAGTTCCATTAAAATACACAAGAGAGCTTCAACTGGTATTGTTTTGAAGCTTGCAAAATATGAAATCTTCAAATGTTTCCTCACAGAGAGGTGGTAAAGGAAGCACTGCAAAATGCAAGTTGAATGCAACCTCTGAATTTTCCTCTTGCTGAGAAATGGACTAGATAGATCAAGTAGTAGTAATTTTAATGTGGTACTTCTCAAAATGAAGTACAGGAAGTGTTCCTCTAGTGTGTGGCAGGGGGACAAGAAATACTTGAAAGAAAAGATATTACATTTGCTGGAGCAATTTTTAGTTGGTGGCTTTGGGAAATATTTTTTGATATACAAAACAAACATGGATGTCAATGATAGAAGACACCCTTTGCATTCATTTTAAAGATAAAAATCCCCCAAATTTCATACCTGTAGTGGTAATCCCCCATCCCAGTTCTTTGGAAGTGCCCATTCACTTTCTGCTGGTATTAGGGATACTCTGGAGGAAAGCCTGAGATGCACTGTTATAATGTACGAAGTATGATCAAACAATACGGTGAATGCTTAAATTAAAAAAAATACAGTAAAAGACACACTCCATTAATCCCCCTCAAAATACACCCCCTCATTTCAAACACACTTATCCCATTGTTCTTGCCACTTGCTGAAGCAGTTCTGGAAGTCCTCTTTCGTGAGTGCCTTTAGTTGTGCTGTCGTGGCTGCCTCGAAGTTCTGAATCATTCTGACTTTGAGGAAGAGCCAGAAGTTGCATGGTGCCAGGTCCAGTGAATAAGGTGGATGAGGACACACCGTAATGTTTTTATCTCACAGCAATTGCCGTATATCAGAAGCGATGTGTGACACGGGGTGTTTGTTGTCATGATGGAGGATGACTTATGATGAACTTTAAAACACACCTCTCAACTGTAGCTTACACTCAGCTGACTGCACTGAACAAGTTGAAACTTGTGACACACTGTTACTAAGGTTTGACACGCCGCTTCTCATATTGAAAATCCCTGTCTTTCCGTTGGATGGCACTCAGCAGCAGCATTCACCATATTTTGTGATCACAATGGAAAGGCGCCATGTCACACATCACTTTTGGTACAATTTCTGTCAAATAAAAATATTACTGTGTCCTCATCCAACTTATTCACCGGATCTGGCACCGTGTGGCTTCTGGCTATTCCCCAAATTCAAAATGACCATGAAAGGAAAACATTTTGAATCGATTCAGGACATCGAGGCAGCCACAACAGTGTAACTAAAGACACTCACGAAAGAGGACTTCCAGAACTGCTTCAGAAAGTGGCAAGAACGGTGGGATAAGTGTGTTTAAAGCAAGGGGGAGCATTTTAAGGGGGATTAATGGCAATGTGTCTTTTACACATAAATTTTTTTTAAATTTAAACATTCACCATATTGTTTGATCATACCTAAGATAACCTTCCAACTCTACACGAGGACTCAAAAAGAGGCCAGGCTATCAAGGGAATATTTTGTGACTTTTAATCATTGAAGAAGTGCAATTAGAGAGGTCACATGGTCTTGAAGATAAAATGATTATGACGTGAATAGTGCCAATTTATGAAAGTTTTCAGTGTACTTTTGAATGACTTTAATAACTTTCCCACACTTACTAATAGTGAGAAATGTAAAAACACAGGAAATACTGCTTGTAGGGAGATCAGTAGTATTTCATAAAATATTTCTGTTCTCCATCTGTATGTAGTATATACGAATTCCAAAAATCAACTTTTTAAAAAGCACAGACTCATGACTTACCTTTCCAAATGATCCCTGCCCTAATACTTTTAAAAGTTCAAACTGGGAAGGATCTGCCTTTTCATGGCCTTCCTTTACATGATGCGTGATTGCGATTTCTTTGATACTGCCTTCTTCCTGTTGATGCAAATACAAAAGGAGAAAACTGAGTTAGAGCTACTTGAACCAGCTATACATCAAGCAATATAAATTTAGTGTATCATATTAGAAATTCTCAAATTAACATATACAAACCACCTTTACTGACCCATTAAGTAACAGAAAACACATGCCCAGCAAATATACCTTCAAGTTGAATGTTAGAGACAGAATACCAGCCTACCACATAGGCCCATTTAACTTCTACATAACATTAGCACTGAGTATTCCCAAGTCTTCATTCTTCCTATTGGAGATAATTAGAATAAACAGGTTTCATGGGGTGAGGGCAGAGAGTGTATAAAAGTCTGAAAAGTAATCTGCTGTGTTCTGACATGTGGTTGCGTTTAGGTAGAACTAATCCTATACACACAAAAAAAAACCCGTTTACTGGGGAGAGAGGTTGAAAAATATTCTGGGGTAACAGGGGAGACTTCTACTCTCAGGAAGGCCATTTGAATTAGTATGCTGAAATTTATTCTGTTTGAAATATCTAAGTTGTGATCTATTTCTAGGACTACATGAGATCTGAGAGAGGAAAAACGAATAATTTTAGAACTGTAAAAGAAAATAACTTCGATATTTGGATAGAGGATTAGACACAGAAAAAAAAAAGACTATTCAGCATGATGAAATAGTGGAAGGTCTCGGGGTTAAGAGAAGGATTTTTAAAGATAGTGGATGCTTCAGTATATCTGAGGAAAAGTTATCAGAAGAAGAGAAAGGTTGAAAATATGTCAGTATACAGAGAATTTCAACTACTTATTCACCATGTGATCATCAGATCAAATACACCTTATTTAATCACGGCAAATACTATATGTTACAGCCCAAACTACAATAAAACAAAGCCCAACAAAACCAGAAACATAAGCCTGTCAAAGACTCTTTTCTTCTTTTTGCCTACAATATTATTTTTTCTAGTACACATAAGTACTCTTAGTAGAATCTAAATGTCTTACACAAACATAAACAATTATTTCTATTACTATTTTATTCCATATAAATGTTTGAGGTCAATTAACATTTTCTGAGACACTCACAGAATGTTGGCAATATAGGGAATTACAAAAATTTCTCAGAAAGATATAGCAAGGTATCCTAATGTTGTGGCTTTTGAAAATGAGTCGTGAAAGGAAAAAAAAAACTCCTGTAAGAGGACAAAAAAGAAAACCAGGCCCACCAATTTACTCTGTAAGACAGAAGCTGTAGTTTGGAGGTTGTCCTACTACTTAGGCAGCTTAATCATTTTGGACTCTCTTGGAACTTTGGCAACAATAAAACATGGTTTAGTCCTTTATTTTGTAACGTCACATGCATTATCTCCTTTATTCTCACAGCAATCCTGTACAGTAGGCATTAGGGTAGAATCAAGCATTAGCTGAGTCCAAGATTCTACACCCTTCTGGGGCACCCCTTTCCTCCAAATGAGACCAATGGATAAGGGCTTGAGAGTGACAGTTGTTCGTGACTACATTAGGAAAGGCAGGAAGCAAATCAGCAAAATCTTTTTAAAAACTTTCAAAGAACAATGTATATGTGTGATTGATCAAGTAAGATTTAGAGTAAAATCCAGCAAATATTTATTAAGCACCTAGCATGTATCAAGCCTGGGTGAGGTGCTTTTACACCTTTTATCTTACATTTATACTTCACGACAAATCTGAGTACATACCAGTGTTAGAGAGGGCTGATAATACAGTGGAGTACACCCCAAAGCAAGCAAAAATATTTCAGAATTCTCTACAGACTCCTACATTCACCACTAGAAATTTGACAGATCTTTTAAAGACAAAGGGGTTTGAATACTCTATGGTCTGAAGTTTAAGGAGATTAAGATCACAAGCCAGTAACTGGCAGGCTTAGGGCTCTATCCCAGGTCTCCAGACCTCTAATGACTTCTAAAACAAAGGTCTTGGTGGTTCTCCATCAAAGAGCAATGACAGGAAAATACAAACTTATTCCCCTGGTCTTTTTAACTGGTCTGTACCTCTTGGGTCAGTTAGCTAAACTGATTAGAGAAGTTTAGCTGAACTTTTGGTGGCACATCCTTATCAGTAAAAAAAAAAATCAGCATACACCCAATATTTGTATACTTACTGGCTTATGAATTATATACATGTTCTTTTCGTACTATTAAATTATATATACTGGGCCAGCTGAGTGGCGCGTTGTTTAAGAGTTGGCTTGGGACGCCAGCTCTAAGCAGCAGGGTCCCAGTTTGGATCCCACATATGAGGGCCAGTGACGCCGCACCCTCTACAGCTAAGATGGTGAACAACAGCTCAACCTGGAGCTGGGCTGCCGTGAGTCGCTGGCAACGGTGTAAACTGCAGTGGGGCTGGCCAGCAGCTGTTGTGAACTCTTGTGAGCTGCCGTAAGCGGCCGTCCAATCGCCTGCAAGCGACTGCCTCACCCAGGAAGAGTGCAATGATAATACCAACATGGGCCAGTGAAGCGACGTTCCTCCACAACTAGACTGAAGAACCAAAGGACAGCAACTTGTCTGTTTCCCTTCCCCGATTCCCCAAGAAAATCTTAAAAAAATTATATATACATTATACATGGAAATGAAACTATAAAGAAGTTCTCCTCTTTCTTTTCTGTACTCCAAAGAGCTATCACATCCCACCTTGAAGTCTAGTGGATTACTGACTTGAACTCATGAGGCCAAGTTCATGGGTTGGATTCCAGCATTTGCCAGGTAGCCTTCTATGGAAAAAAAACTATCTGTTCAAGAGCCTAACTGGAATCTAATGGCCATTTATGCCCGTAAATCATGAGGCTGTAAAGAATTATACTCTGTAACATTCTATATGCTTCACCACTTTTCTTTCTTGGATAAGTGGGATGTGACTTATTAGGCTGTAATATTTTATCATCTTTTATTTCATAGCAAATGCCTACTACAATTGTCACAAATAAATGCAACACAGGCAGGAAAGGATCACTGGATTATAAATGTTCTGCATTTTGTAGCAGGCATTCAGGATTAAGTCTTACTCCCATAGTGTGAGCCACCATCAGGCCATGGATCTCAAAATAATAGCAGTTACTATTCAAGAAAGATTTCATCTTTGATGTCTACCTTTCCTTTCCTCTCGTGTCAAACAAGTTACTAAAATCCCTTTGATTCTTTCATTCATTAAACATATACTAAAACGCCTGCTATGTATCAAGCATGTGGTACTGCGAATACCTTTCATTCTTTCTTTTTTTATTTCCAATAGCATCATCCAGGTACAATCCTTCATTATCTTTCTTGTGGAAAATTGAAACTAGCTTGGTTACTCATAATGCTCTTTTCTGCCACTGCCGATCCAATTTGTCCTCCTGACAAATTCATTTTCTGAATGTAGACATCTGGTCATTATGACCAGACTGCTGAGCAACTCCAAGTTTTTCCAAATTAAATGTACTGCTTCACCTTGGCATTTGAGGCCCTCTGCAATATGGCCTCTACCACTTTTCCAGTATTATCTCCCAATGTCTCCTTACACGTTGCCTGTCAACCTGGGTTACTTCCTGTTCTCTAACTTTTTTGTTTTTAAAATCAAAGTAATACATACATGCACATGGGTATCAAATCAAACAGTGACAGAATGGCTTATGATGAAAAATAAGTCTCTTCTCACCTCCATACATAGGCTTTTAAAAAAAATTAGTTCATTTGGCACTTATTTTGATTATTTCTTAGTTTGTTAACTTTAAGACAATGCCTACCGATTTAAAATAAAGAAAGATGAGGGACTCATTTATATTATGTCCCTTCCAGTGTCTTTCTCCCACTATTTGATAATTATATTACTTTTACACCAACCTCTTTTCTATCAGTTTTGGATAGAATCCTTACTCATCACTTTGTAAAAGGAGGCTAATAGTACCCACATGTTCTTTCTCTCAAACTTCCCCCCACCTGCTGCTAGCTGTATGTTTACATTTTTATTATTAAGAAAATTAACATTCTCTCTTGTAACCACAACCAAATCCTTCATGCTCTCTTGAGACACAGCCTAATTGTAAAAGCTGGAAGTCTATGCAACAGCATCCACATTTTCATGACAATATATTGGTCAAATGCAGGCTAGGAAGTATATTATATTTCCTTTTATATGTGCCCATAACAGTGATTTCCAGGCCAACCCAAGGGGACTTAAAAGAAAAAAAATTCATCAAATGCTTAAATTCATGATACATTTTAACTCTGATTTCTATTTGTACCATGCATTTCTTGTCCAGTTTTTTATTTTTATTGTTTCTAACAGTCCTTCCCTGGGCCCCTTCCCCGCCCCCCCATTCTTGGGGGGCAGGGAGAGGTTAGTCTGACCATTATTCTTAATCTTTGCTTAGCCCTTAACTGTACTTTCCATTCTTCTGAAAGCCCTCGCTTGCCCTCCCATTGGGATTGGTTGTTCTCTAGGCTTTGCTGCACAGCTATTATCTTTGGGATATCTCCTTCCTGGTTGAATCCACTATTTTCAGTTTCCCATGTCTTTCTCTTTCTTAGATTAATTATTCCCTTGTAACTTCCTAAGAAAGGTGATGTGGAAGAAAACTTTCTGAACCTTGCACATCTGAAAATGTCTTTATTTTGTCTTCACATTTGTATAGTTTGGCTTGGTACCAAATCTAGAATAAAAACAATCTTGCCTCAGCACGTTGACACCACTGGTCCACCCTGGGCTGCTGAGACGGGTAATGCTAGCCTGATACACACTTTTTGGTAGGTGACCTTGTTTTTTTTTCCGGAAGCTTTAAGAATTTGCTCTGTCCTTGTACTTCTGAAATTCCATACTAGTGAGATAAATATAGGTCTTCTTTCCTTCAGAATGCTAGATGCTTGGTGAACCTTAATAATCTAAACCTGAATTTTTTCTTCTGAGGGAATTCTAGCATTTCTTTGATAATTTCCTTCTATCTACTTTCCAGGATTTCTCTTTTTGCAACTCAATTATTAGTTGGATATTGCATGTTTGGAA